GCACAACCCCACCTTGCAGTGAGCATCTCCAAAAACCAAAGCTACGGTGTCCCTGCTGAGGGGGCAAACCAAAGCGCAAAAGGAGCTGTCAGTGTTCCCCTCTGACCCTTCTCCCTTGCAGCTTCCACCGCACTGACTCCTTTTTAGTCACCCTACGGCAATCGTGGGTGACTCGGTGAAGAGCAGGCACAGCTTACCGACGGATCCCACTGTTTTTCTCAGGACAGTGCCGGGATTCAGCAGGGGAAAGGCATCCGGTAGCAAATCGTCGTACCACGTGGCGGTCGTCCCCGTGATGGGAAGGTTGTTCTCCAAGGGGGGGCTTCGCTCCGCAGCCTCCAGGAGAAGGATCTAGATGGAGGACGTGGGAAAGGCAAACAAGGTCAGCAGGCTGGTCTCAAATCCCAACGAGGTCTCAAAACTCCTCTCTTTGTCAGCAGGGACTGTGAATAACTGCATCACAGAGCACAGGGTTTTGGCATTAGAGTTTTATGGTGGTTTTGGTTTGTGTTTTTTTCCTGGAAAATGACTGTAACGAGCATAGGAAGCTGCTGTGTTAAGTTGCAAGAGGGTCTCCCTCCTTGGAGAGGGCTCTGCTGCTTCCAGAGAGGCTCAGCCTCACGTGGGGTTGCCTCCCTGGTGAGAAACATGAAACTAGGGACCAGAGCTGGTGTTAGGGGACATAGCATTTCACTGCGAGGTTACCTGCTTGAATCCAGACTCCTAAGGTCAGAAATTACTCAGGGCTGGCACAAGGAGAAGGGCTGTGCCCTGGATGCCCAGGGCAGCAAACCGAGGTGCCTCAGGATAAGTGCTGGGCGTGAGTCAAAGCACAAATGCTGGCCAAACTAAAGATGAGGGAGCATATATAGCTTTTAAAGAGCTGAAGTGCTTTCATTCTGTAGCAAATAAAAACAGGCAGGCAATTTCCTCAAAGACCTCTACTTAGAAGTAACAGGATATTGTTAAAACTCACAACTGTTTCTATACCTTATAAACATAGAACCTTCACACAAATCCACATCTCGCTGTGCGCCCCTGAGCTATCTGGGCCATTTACAACCCGCTCTCTTCGGCACCGTGATCCCGTTTTCCCCGTACGACTCAGACCACTGCTCACCAAGCTCTGCTCCCCCGGCCACCTGTGTGAAACTGGAAGTTAAATCTGAACGTGGCTGCAAAAAAACCCGAACACCTGCAAGAAGCAGAGGGAAGGAGGGCCCCGGTGGGCTCTGCCATTAAAGCAAACCATTCACTGCACTTTATAATCAACATTTTTAATTAAAGTTTTCACAAAATCAGGATTTTTTTTTTTTTAAATTTTAAACAAATTTTCTATTTTAATCTAAATGCTTCATCCTCCTCTGTCTTCCCAGCCACTAAGCAAGGGTGGAAAACCAAAGGAGTCTAATGGATTTCCTCTGAAAAAGCCAAAGCCAGACCCGGAGTGCCAAGCCCACAGGTTCTGCTGCAAATGGATTTTACCCGGATTGCTAGAGAGAAGCTTAACAGAGGCCAAGGGCAGCACCTACTTCCCTGGTGGAAAGAGTTATGATCCAAGCATCCAGCATCTCCAGCCAAGTCTGCTTTCTAAGCACGAAGCTACATGGGAAAACCGCTCAACGAGCGCAACGACATGGTTTGGTACCGTCTCTGCCTGTTTGGAAACCACCTAGGCAAATACCGATTTAGGGATAAGGGAAATAAAAGAGATCACGGCTCAAACTTTCCACTAAATCCCTAGAAGTTTCAGCTTTTACATGCTGTGTTGTCTTTACATAATGAAGTCACGCTGCAATTATAAACGAGAGTGACTTGGCTCCGCTTGTTTGTTTTTAACTTGCAATTATTACAAGGTTTATCACTTATTTATTACAAGGCACGGTGAGAGCCAGTATTGCAGCAGCGCCAGAAATGATGAACTTCCTGCAGAATGTTCTGGCCTGACGGGGGTGAATCAGAAACTAATTAAACTGGGAGCTGGGTTAAGTGCAATGGAACTGAACCTCAGCTGTCGCAAACAAGCAAAATTCTTCCTTTATTGCAAGGCTCTTTATTCATGGATCCAGACTCTTGCTTTCTGAGTAATAAGAAAACAAGAAGGAATCAGGTCATAACGCTTTTATTCAAAAGGCTTCTCCGATGCCAGGCAAGGAAGGAATTGGTTCAGCCTGTCCTTTGCGCTTCTGTGCCTTTACCCAATGACTTATTTGTCAGACTCTCAAGGAAACCTGCTATTAGTTCAACACCTAAGTATGTGCTGACCATAACTGTGTTTAACTTCCACTGACATGGGACTCAAGTGTGCATCAGAGATGTTTTCTGCATCACTTTGTACAATTACATTATCCCCTTTCTTCCCCAGCAAAACACCTGGATGTTGCTGGAGTGTGCTTGGCACCAAAAATTAATCTTGGAGGTGGCAAATTAGAGGGTCTGCAAGCCAGGGCAGGGTTAGGATGCTCCTGCCATGAGGAATGGACCGCTAAGGGTTGCCTTGGACAGAATTTTGCCACAGCCCAGTGGCGCTATGGGAAGAGGTGATATTAAATCCAAAGCAGCACTGGTCAGAGACCAGCAAACCGCAGGGGTCTGGGGCCCTCCTGGGCAGCACGAGCGGCACCAGCACAGCTCTGCTGAAGGTTGCATCTGGGGTGGAACAGCTCCAAATCATTTTTATGGGTGATAATAAAATTGTGTTACCACATAATCAACACAGAACAGTGGCAACGGTATCCTTTTCATTAAAACAACATGGTTTAAATGAGCGCTCTGCTGATAAACGCTGTAAAAGATTTAAAGGCATGCACAGAATAACCCAGTATGCTCTTTCATAAATTGACTATATATACGTAGCAGTCATTAAGGCTCAAACCATAGTAACAAGTTTATTTTCCCTGAGCACAAAACGATAGAGGTCAGGAAGTCTCCAGACTCGAAACTGCTGAGAAATTCTAGTTTTTATGATTAGGGCTGAAGAAGTGCCCAAAAGAAATAAAGTAGAAAGTAGAGAGCTTTCACATCCGTGAGATCTGCAGAGCCAAACTAAAGAAGGAAAAGCACAAGGGATTTAGTCACATTCAAAATCTCAAACTACACACAGTTCATTCAGCAAGGAGTGTCCTCTCATAAGCCAGCGCAGCACATAGCACAGGCAGGGTCCTTGCACATTATTGCAATAGCATTGGAGCCATTCATCTATTTTCTGTCACGTTCTGTTTTTCTTAAGGCTGCCATTGCCGGAGTCAAGGAGAATTCCCACTTTCATTAAACAAAAAAAAAAAAAAGAAAGCTCCTAGCCCTCTGAGTAAACTGCTGGAAAATGATACCACAGAGGCTCACAGCCAGAAAGCAAATTAGCAAAATGTGCAATGTATTAAAGTCTTAGTATTAAAGCCTTGGTATTTTCTAGTCAGTAAGGTTGAGGTAGAGGGAGGGATAACATCAAATGAAAAAAAAGTGGGGTTTCAGTTGGAAACCCTTACTGCAAGCAGTGTCCACCTCTGCTGCTACGGACACTTCAAACGCAAAAGCTACACCTTCATGAAGAGTGGAGGCAGCAAACACCCTAACGCCATCACATAAATGAAATATGCCTTGATGCCATGGGCAATGTTAGTCACCCACCTGGAGCAGGTACAGAGAAACAGCTCGTGGCTGTAGCCTGGGCTGTCAGGAGGGCAGAGCCCCACCTTGCATTGCACAAGGTGAACCACGGCCTCAACTCAGCAAAGCACTCGGGCTTTTTGTTCTTCTGTGCGTGTGGAAGCAAGAAGCCAAATCTGAGCCTGGATGTGCTGAACTGGAGCCTCTGGCAACTGAGGTCCCAGCGGCATGAGGGCTTGTCTCTGGTTTCCAGACCCCACCTCTCGAACGCAGCTGAACTGGGTCGGAAAGCTGGAAAGAACCAAAACGGGGCCGCGTCTCCCGCCAACGCCGCAGTAGGAGACGGGTGCGATGTCAGGGAGATGGCGTGTGAAGGCGAAGGGAACGCAGGAGGGATGACGCACTGCCCCGGCCAAGGAGCTGGCAGGCCAGCGCCAGAGGTTATTGCCTCCAAAGTTCAGCCCTGGGCGTTCCGAGTCCCGCAGAGGCGCCGGGTCACCCCTGTAGAGGATCGGGTGCTGGCTCGTCTCCCGTGGCTCGGAGCCTGTCTCTTCATACGCAGGGCCCTCAGCAGGGACATCCATGTTGTGTGCCTCAAGCTCCATCCCAGCTTACTCAACCCACCTCCCCCTTTCCTATCTGCCAGCATAAACTTTCTAAACTTCAGACACATACCACGGTTCTTGCATCAGATCAAAACCTCAGGCCAGGGACGATGGAAACAAGAGGAAGGTTTTCATCTTCTTGAGATGTTCAGTGTCAGAGGACTTTTCTTGGCTTGTAGTGGCTTTCAAGAACCCTATTTTCGTCGTTCCCACACATCAAAAGAAGATTTCACAAACACAGCCTCCTCCCATCATCTGTCCTCTGCTCGCATTCCTGATGTCCTGTAACTAGTAGGTGCTAGAAACGAGGAAAGAACAGTGGGGCTTCCAAAGATTTCAGAATTGATACAACAGGGCTCAGACTGCTTTTTCTTTGGGTAAAAATCCATGGAAATGCAGGGGGAATAATTTGATGTAATCCAGATGGATATTATTAATTAATAAACAGGGGATATCTTGTCTCATGAAGCACTGACAGAATTAACTCCCCTCCATCTCTCTCTAAAGAGGAGGGAAAGAAATTGCATGAATCCAGCTCTTCAGCTAAAAATTCCTGTGTAAAATAAGATTCCCTTGATCTTGTAAAGACACAAGCTGATTAATAATGGTAATTGCATAACTTGTTGGACATATCTTACTTTATAGCAAATTATATTTGGCAAAATTTAAGAGTTTTTTAACCATTCATCAAGACACGGAGCTAAACAGGGAGTTTTACAAAACCTGATGGAGAATCGTATCTCTCTTGTAGCAATACGAAACCTGTGAATCGAAGGCTCTAACGGAGACGCAATTCCTCGGTTTCAAAAGCCAAAAGACATTCTGTAAATGTCCACTAAAATTTGATGAACCAGGTGCCCAGAGAGAACTAAGTGACTTCATCTTTATTACATCTTAGAGTCTTTGGCCAAAGGGGACAAAATAATTAGTGCATAGAGGAGTTTTTCTTATATTGATAAATTATGTGGGGAGCAATTGCTGATGTCATTGCAGCGACCCAATGTAGCCCTGAAGGTAAGGTTTATGGCATCAGCCATTGCATGGAAGACAGAACTGTGGACCAAAGGCTTTGGTCATTCTACAGGTAGTGCAGTTCATGTTCTTTTGGCAAAGGTATTTTGAGGTTTTGTGCAGTTTGAC